TCAACTGCGGATTGAGTGGTAGCAATGCTATAATCCACCACGCCCACGCTGGCCCATCAGCAATATTTTCCCAGTTATCTTCAACTGCTGGCATTTCACCAAAACTTTGTAATATTTCCTGTTTGAATTCAGTACCCAAACTTTCAAACCAATCGATTGCCTTAGCTCGTACCGAGGCGTGCATAGCACTCACAAACTTCACATTTTCATCGGATATAGTTTCATCATATATATACTCCACCTTAGCAGTCTCATAACCATCCTTTTCATTGCGCGTTAATATTTTGAATCGCTTACAGCCCACAGTGCTTAAAATAGAGCAACCATCGCGTAGCATAACACAATCTCGGATATCGAGTATGGTACCCACATCGTAATAACGTGATTTGCCCTTGTGAGGTTGCACAATGCCAAACTGTTTTTCACCAGATTCTACAGCCCGTCGCACCATTAGGCGGTAGCGCGGCTCATACACGAACAAAGGACATGCAACATGTGGAAATGCCGTAGTACAAATGAAAACTGGCACTGATGGTTCCATGTTCATTTCTTGGCGGGAACGTTTCTCATAACTGTCTGGAATAAATCGTTTCATAGCAGCTTCAAGAAACTTTGTAACAGGCCTTTTGGCCAAACTTAAGGGTACTGGTGAGGATGCACCTTGATATAACTGATTAACGTTTGGTTCTACAAGTGGTGACATGCATAATGGACACGAGGATGTATAATCCATGCAACGATCCAAGCATACCCGGCAATAAGTGTGTCCACACGGTGTCACAACAGGCTTCCACAAAGTGCGACAGCACAACACGCAATCAAAGTCGCTGGCATCAATTAAATTGGTAGGCACCTGCATCAGTTGTTTACTCAATTGACTGCTCGAGGATTCGAGTTCTATGGAATTGAAAATAATGTTTGTTACTTCATACATTTTTATTATATATTCAACTTACTTCTTAAACGCTGTAATTCCTGTTGTGTGCGTTCAATGATGTTGCAAAATTGTGTGCTACAACGCAACTCATCGAGCGGAACTGTGGGCAATAATTCTGTCTCTTTTGGTATCCATTTTCGTCGAAAATGTTTACGCATCGGATGTCGTCGCAGCGAAACATCATAATCCTTTCCTATGCTGGGATAAGTGCTATGATAATCAGCGGCGGCTAATACTTCTTCTTCATCTGCTATGATGTCGCATTTCTTGCTACAAGCTAAGAAATCTTCATCCATGGCATTTATGTGATCCTCATCGGCATTGCGCAGTAAAGCCATTTGTTTGCGACGTAAACGTTGTTCGGCGAGTACACTATAAGGTGAGGTAGTCGAGAAACATCTGTGAGACGCAAGTTTACTCTTTTGAGATTGAGCCAAGAATTTTTGCAATGTCTGGAATATTGTTATTAGTTATTAATATGAAAAATTTTTTTGTAATGTAGATAATAGACATATAGGTAATAATATCACAGAATGGTGATACTATACAAGTACCTTTCTTTTGCAAACCGATTGAGGTTTGACACTTTCGCGATTAATAATTAATTAAAATCAATTTATGACTGTAGTGTAATTTATTAAAAATTAACTTACTTTTGAGAGATCATGCTGAAATAATTCTGTCGTGGTTAGACTAGCTGCTTTGTCCAAACTTATAGCGAGACAATTGTCATAGAGTGCTTCATCGAAACGTCCCAGTTCACTTAAAGCCAAAGCCCTTAAATAATGAGCCTAAAAACAAATAAATATATATTAGAATAAATTGCAGTACACAACACAAAAGAAATAATGAATGATTTAAGATTAAAAAGGCTATTTTATTGCAGTAAATTTTTAAAAATGATTTTTGTAATACCTAACTAAGGGTCTTGAATAAAATTCAGTTATTCAGTAGTTTCAACGGATTGTCGTCGTATATTAGTGTCCAACACCTTCATTCAAAATCTGTGATATGTTTGTAAAAGAGTACAACCAGATGTTGTTCACAATAAGTTTTTAATGCGTGTCCCAAGAAAATCCCAAGAAAAGTATCATCCAATAGAGTCATTCCATATCATCGTGCGAAGAACACATCGACAAATGGGGGACTTATTGTTCGCAGACTATCAGTATTATTACTGTTATAATATCATCTTTGAGGTTGTATAATCAAAGCAATTTTCAAGAGAAACCTTGCTATCACCTCTCATATCCACCTTTAAAATAGGGGTTAAAATATACCCAAAAAAACATGTTTGTCGTAAAAGACGACAAATATCTGTTGGGCGTTATTTTATAATCTTTTGGGGTAAGTGGTATGTCGGTGTATGTTTCAACACTTGGTCAGTAATCTACAGAAACCAGGTGCCCATTTAGACATCTTTCTGGATGAATTAATACTTCATAGTATTAGTGTTAGCATTTATATTTTCACACAATGTGGTATTATATTTTCAAACGATTGCTGTGCTTCACAGTATAGAATTAGCATATTATTATTAAAGTATAGTATAAAATCTCTCTTCTTACTTAGTGGGAAGTCATGTCTATGCATATGACTTTTATAAACACAAGTAGAACTTCCCCAATGCAGTACAGATCGGGTCATTATACTAATTCGACATTAAACAAACCCTCACGTCTAAGCCTATAAATGAATACGCAAATCATTGTAGACGTAATACCGTCTCCGAAGAAAGATCACTACTAAGCATTTCACAAACTGTTCTAGTATTCTTCAACTGTAATTACAGTTATTCACTATACACAGCACAATTTATAATATTTTTTAACAGTTCAATTGCTTCTTCACGCTCCTTTCTCTTGCATAAAATCAATTTATTATAGGCATTGTCTCACTAAGGTTAAACAGTTGCTGAATCTAAATTAATTTATTCTGTTCTCTTTTATGTTCTGTTCTGTTTAAGCTGATCGACCTATGACGATTGACGCCATCTAACCCTAAAAGTGTGCATTTCACGAAGAGGTGTAAATCATAATATTATCTAATTGTTCAATTACTCCTTTATCCACATAAGTTTTGGACCAACTTATCTGAGTATTGTTCCACTAAAGTAGCAGGATTTTAGAGTGAGAATTAATTTAATTTTCCCTGCATTTTCCCTCTTCACTTCATTCCGCTCTCATCACCATATTCCAACTAAACTCAAATATTCCTTATCGTTAACTCACAGTTGACTCATTCAGGGTCACACTGCACCACAGTCTTGTAGAGTCACTTCCTTTGGGAATAAATCAGCATGGTCGTTTGAATGTGCCTTCTGGTAGATGCAATTCGTGATAAGATGGATAACAGGAACAATCAAACATATTCTAACTATTTTCACTTCAATAAAATTTATTGATATTGTATTATTAAACATATCAATTTATTATGTGAAGAAAGTGGAATGGTGAGACCATAATACAATTGCTCAAAGTGATCACTTTGGATATTTCTAAGTATTTATTTATTAGACAATTTATAGTCGATGATTAACGATAGTTTACGTTAAATGTTTCTATCAACGTTTAATTTTAATTCTATGATGAAGAAGCACTTGTATAGTAGTCTTCATATCTATCACTCAACTAATACCTTAATTAATTGCCAAATACTTGTGCTGTGTTTCTTTTTCCTAATAGTTTTAATATAAAATCTTACTCACCTTCGCCGATGTATAACGAATTTTCAGTGCATTCTCCACATCTGCCAATGAGCTCTGAAAGTGATTAAGTTTCCGCAGCACCTCGGCGCGCAGCAACAAACTCTTGAAATTCGTGGGCGCTGAAAAAAATAAATGGAAAAAAATAATATAAAACCAATTTTTTACTTTGAAATGAGAAAAGCATAATTAATAGATAAATTAATAGACATTCAAAGAGTAAACAAATAAGCAAAAAATAAATTGTCACAATCCACATGAAATGTCAAAATGTCACAAGAAAAGATTGACAATCGTGATTTGGTGATGGAGGCACTCGTCTTATACACATAATTGCCGTCGCGCATTTATGTGACATTTTCTTCAAAAAAAAAAAAAAAATCAATCCCAAAAATTGGCTGACATAAGGCCTATGCTCAACACTAAGTACTTGTATCTTGTATCTTATGGTTGCGTGCAGCATGCGTCCTTATCATGAAGAGCAGGGCGCCAGTTGCATTGATATGACAATGTCGCTTAAGCGTTTTGTGTAATTCGAATAATTTTGTCAAAATAAAGCCAAAAATTAACAGTAGCTGTTAATTTTTTTTTTTTAAGATAGAATAATTTCAAAGAAATAGACATTTTTAGATACTTAAGAACCATTTTTGACATTTCAACGAAACGAAAAGTGTGTGCCGGTCATTTTTCGCGCACAATTAGCAGTAGTCGTGCTGCTGCCAAAAATCAAGTTCTTATAGAAAAAGTCTTTAAATACAAATTAAAATTTATTTTTTTTTATTTTTTGGTACTTAAATCTAAATAAAATATTATACTGAAGTACTTTCATAATTTTCATGAAAATTAGTTTGGCTTCATGAGCGACGCAACTAAGTTTTAAATCGGTTTCGGTACGCACGATTTGAGATGTTGAGGCGCTGAGATGTTGAGATGTTGAGTCTATGGACACGTACTGGTAAGGAAGTTAAAGTACAAAATTTGTAATACGAAAAACCACAAAAAATTATTAAAAATTTCTTTAGTTAATGACCAACACGTTGTATCTATAGGAAATGAAATTTTTGCTTAATAATTAAAAAATTCATTTTTTATGTTGAAGTTATGAGAAAATTTTAAAAACATTTTGTTGTATATGCACCCTAAAGTTATGTAAGTAAATAACGTTGAATTGTCTTTTTCATTCCAAGGGCATTTTCATTACAGAGTTCGTTCCCCATGGCTAAACTTGGCTAAACCATGGTTAATGCATAAATCTTTTGTTTTATATAACATTTTAAAACGTTCGATGCATTGTATATAGCGTATTTGATTAGAATATCGCGAAGAAGGAAGTTAGCAGTTAGTGCATGATCGACATCTGTAATCGACATTTGGAACCATCCTCCTATATATATTCGTTGCATAATAGTGCCGTTCAACAAACTCTAGGCCAGACCGCCTTTCTGAATAAAAATCGTATTTAGCTGCCAATTACTCCCCGTATTCATGTGGTTTAGTTATATAAGAATACCTCTCGGCAATTCTATATAATCGTTGAAGAATAGAAGAGAGACACTTGTGTAATATCTTGATAATGCCCCATAACATAGATTAACATCCGTAAACGACTATATGAAGAGAAATCTCATTTAGGTATGAACCAATCGCCGTATTTAGTGCTGTTGAAATACCTGTCACAATCTGTATACATTCGTTGATACAGGTTCGTATATTCAACAAGCTTTAAGCAAAAGTAGACATTTGTGTTAAATCTTGATAATGTGTTTCATCATACGATCGATAACTGTGGGTGACTTTTTTGGATAAAAATAGCATTTCAACACTGTCAACCACTTTCCGTATTCACCTAAGTACGCATTATTAAAATATCTATCGTGTGTATTATCTTTAGGGAATAAGGTCGTTCAACAAACCAACAGATCCTGGGCAAATGAAAACGCTACTGTAATATCTAGGCTGAGATTTAATATAAAAGATGAACAAAGAAGCTCATTGAGTCTGGAAAGAGTGAATAACTCTAAAGTTGTGGCTATTTGATAAAAGCGCTTTTATGCTGAGAGTTTCATATTAAAAGAATACGTATTTAAAACACAATTTTTTGTATTTTGTGCTTTTTCGGGTCTTCTTTAATATACATATTTATTATTATTATTAAGTGCAATGTCACATATATAAAGCTGATTAGAAGAGGAATGTGAATGTAATTTACCACTAGCTCTGTGTTCTGGAGATCCATAACACAAAATAATGATATTTAATAAATCATTATATTTTATATATATCAATATATTTTATATAATATAAAAAATGATAACAAATACCTTATTTTTAAATATAATGGCTTGAAATATATTTAGTTATTTTATTTTTAAGAGTTTATCGGTTCATATAAAATTTTGTATTAGATTATACGGTTTACAGAAATTTGAATAATGTTGTTTTTGTGGAATAATATGCGGTTCAATGGCTCCAATTTGGCAGGATTCAATTCCTGACACTTGGAATGTACATATTACATACGGACAGGACAATTAAGTCAATAGACTTTTTAAAATACAATTGATGTTAGATATTTAACGGTATTCGAATTAGCTGTGTGGCTAGTCTAAGAATTGACTAAATAAACTTAGACTTTTGGATACTAAGTTCTTGACATCAACTCTTTCCTTTAATTACTAGAAATGGACATTTTCTCCATTTAGTAATACATAATACCACGTAGGAAGTGGTTTTAGTAGGTTAAAGTCTATCTCATATTGCGGCTAAATTTGAAAACATTCTATTCTATTCGGAATAGAGTTTTCGTATCAAGAGCTACCACATATTCTACTCGAAGATATATATCTTGTCTAGAGAAATATAATTTTTAACTTGAAACTCATTTATTCATATATATTTGAGAACTTATCTGAGTGGTTTTAGAATATATAATATAATAAAAAGATTATTAATAAATTATGGAAAAATAATATAAAAAATAATATTAATATTTATTTTTATACATTTACATTGTATCTAAGTCAAGAAAAACTACATATGACTGCACTTAATAGATTTAATATCTATTGTTTTATAAATATTATATAAACAGACATACTTGCTAAATCTTTAAATGACTACTCTAATTGATTAAATCAACATGATTACAAAAGATTTAACAAGCAAATTAACAGGCCATATGTTTTCATTCATATGCCGACTTTTTTTCATAATTTTTTTTTGCTTTCAATTTATTACATCATAATTATACAATTCATAATCGCTACTGTAAATCCCAATGTTATAACATTAAAGAGTTATCGAGTTAAGTAATAGAAACAATAGATACTCTTAAAAACTAAAGAGCTATGTTAAAATAAATAATATCATAAACTCTTAAAAAACGGAAGCGGAACTTAATAACAGATTTTGCTCTAATAAAATATTTTTGCAGTGCATAAACAGCATTTAAGAGTAGACTGACTGTTAAGTTAACATATATTACGTTAACGCTTATGTTATGTCAAACTCTCTCACCGCTAACGTATAGAGCATAACATAATAATGTTTCTAACATTACGCAATACATTTACATAAAAGCCAAAATGTGCATTACAAACAGTAGATGAAAAATTGGGTTAGAGCATTTTTTTTTATATTTATATTTTTTTCTAAACTGAAATATAGTCAGTCATGTAAGCAATATTTAATGTAATTGTTTTGTTAAAGTTTCCAGTGTAAACTCGTATCTTATAATGACATAAACTGAAACATTAACATGCATAATTACTTTTCAGGTGTTGTTGGCTGTTGGCTGTTGGTTGTTTGCTGTTTGTTGCTTATTGTTTATTGAAGGTTAAAATCGAGTTGTTCGTCACAAAAAATGGACACAAACGGCTGTCGTAGCCTTGCTTTGAAGCTAAAAATACTAGTTTTCTAGTGGAAGTGCATTAAAGATACATATTCCGTAGTAGGAAACTATTTTGAATTGGTAATTGCGTTTACTCTGTTTACGTTATTTGTTGTTTTGCATATATAAATTTATTTCTTAATTTATTTTATTATTTTTTTCAGTTTATTTTTAAATTTTTATTGTATTTCTTATTTTGTTTTGATAA